TCTCTCTCTCTCTCTCTCTCTCTCTCCCTCTCCCTCTCCCTCTCCCTCTCCCTCTCCCTCTCCCTTTCCCTCTCTCTCTCAAAATAATTTTTAAGAGGCTGGGGAGATAGCTCAGTAATTAAGAGCACTGGCTCCTCTACCAATAGACCAGAGTGTACAGACATACAACCATACACATAAATAAAAAACTTTTTTTATTAATAAATAAATCTTTTAAGAGGGGGAGATGTTGGTAAGATGGCTCCATGAGTAAAGGCACTTACTTGGTACCCAACCTGACAACCTAAATTCAATCTTTGGGACCCATGTGATGGAAAGAGACAATCAACTCTTCAAAGTTGTCCTCAGACCCTCAAGCACACCTCCATGGGTATACCCACACACATACAAAAATAAATAAATGTAATTTTTTTAAAGGCTTTTTAAGTTAATAACTCTTAAAATATGCCAAGTGAAAGAAACAGATTCAAAATGTCATATGTTATGATTCCATTTAAATTAAATACCCAGAAGATGCAAGTCCAGAGTTGGAAAACTGATTAGTGGTTGCCTGGACTGGAAGTAGGAAGAAAGAGAGTGACTACTAATAGATAAAAGATTTCTTCCTGGGGTGATAAACATGCTCCAGAATTAGAGGTTGGAAGCACCATTCTGTGACTATATTAAAAATCAATGAACTATACAACTTTTTAAGTATGTAGATCAACTTTCTAGTATGTAGATGTCTCAATAGTTATTATACTTCTTAAAAGAAAAAAAAAAAAAGACAAGTGGCTGCTTCTGATGAAGAGCCTGGGCAAGAAGGTAAAGCAGTGGCACTACGGCCACACAACACTACTGTCCTCCTGTCCTCTCTCTGAGGAGCTGCCCTAGGCACTCTCATAGTCCCCAAGCCCCTGCTGGACTCCCTTGCAGCTCTCTGACAGCAGCCTGCCTCTCATGGCCTCTCCACTCCACACACCTTTTCAGCCACATTCTGGATCACAGCCCCTCCTGCTGCCAACAATTCTGAGGCTCCTAGCTCTGCAGCAGGCATGCAAGTCCACCTGGGTTCTTCCTAGCCTCTCCTACCTAAAATCAGTCTGCATACAAACACCAGTCATACAGTACACCCTGGCTCTCAAGCATACCTGTGGGGCAACAGGCAGGCCAGACCTCTGCTTATCAGGACGCACCCATCTGATGCCTTCTTTTTACCTCTTGACTTATTCAAGATAACCTTCGCCTCCACAATCCTGTACCCCTACTGACATCTCTGCAGACTCTGTCTCATCTCCCAAGACATCAGTGGACTGAGCTGCAAGAGGACTTAGGGTTTCCCTCCATGTCTTGGGCTTCTTGTATCCTACAGAGAATGTGTAGCCTCAAGGGAGCTGTGAAGTGTCATTACCTGAGTGAACCACCTTGGAAAGTAGCCTGTTAGGTCCTCAGGTTAAAGGCTCACATCTGTTCTTGTTCTCACAGCAAGCACGGAGTATACTACACAACATTAGCCTGAATCTGGTTCTGAGTACATGAGTTAAGAACAGGGGGTAAAGGGATAGGGGGTGCCAGTCAAAATGGCTATCGATCATCTCTCCCAAACCAGTGATGACATAGTTTGTACCTCAGCTCTGTGGACAGGCAGAGCAACAGCAAAGCTCTGTATCGTGGAGAACTGACTGGATTCCCCTACCCCATTCAGGAACTGCTAACTGACTGACTCCTTGACCTATGCTCTTGCTGCTGTACATTAGGAACCACATCAACGAAGGTGGCTGAGGAAAGCCTGGACACTCATCCTTTGGGAACGCAGTGACCTTTCAAAAAAAAGCAGAAGTGCCATCTCACCTGGACTTGGGCTGCTAGGAGCCCAGCCGCCCTTCTTCCCTCGTCCTCAGGGCTTCCCTCTATGTACCATGCTGGATCCTGAGGGCACAGAGCTAGGAAAGAAAAAAGAAGTCATAGAGGCACCTTTCCCGTCAGAAGTTCACGAACCCTATAGAGATGAGGAAGGCTACGCCCTGCCTTTGCTCCTACCATCCCAGGTAAGGAAGAAAGCTACTTAGATGAAGGAAAGGGGACTCAGAGAAGGTGGCAACTTGTGACTCCTCACTGACCTATGCTATGAGGCACCATCCCTGAGAAGCACTTTTCACAGCCTTTCTGGGTCTGAGCCCTAAGTGTCTCTACACTAATTCTCATGTTATTGTCCTAGAGATGTCATCATCACTTTCCCCCTACAAACAGTTTTCTGATCCCTCTTTATTCTTTTGTAGAGTGAGAGATAGACCCCAAGCTCCCGTTCTGAAGAACTGCTGGGTCGCCAGCTCTGACCCCAGCTACGGCAGATCCCTGAAGGAAGAAGATATTACACAGCAGACAACACAGTTCAGGGTACAGGTTGGTGACTCACCCCAGGAAATAGCAGAGTCAGCAGCCCCCATCCCCCAAGACTGGTCCATGAGGGTACCTGCAGAGAAAGATCAGGTTATGACTGTGACTAAAACCCAGTGACTAAAGGCAACAAAAGAAAAAAGGAACATGACCGAGTCCTATACAGAGTCCAAGGGTATACGTAGAGTTTCTCTGTGTCTTGGCAGCTGCTCCCAAATAACCATTCAGAGACTTATTATTAATTATAAATGTTCAGTCAATAGCTTAGGCTCATTTTTTAGGTAGCTCTTATAACTTAAATTAATCCATTTCTACCAATCTATGCGCTGCTCCAAGGCTCATTTACCTCATGTACATACTTCTCATCCTGCATTCTCTGCATCTCATGGTATCTCTTCTGACTCCTGAGACTCTGCCCTTCTTCCTCCCAGGGTCTACTGTCTGGCTGTCTGCTTATAAACCTATGTCTAGCTACCCACCAGTCAGCTCCTTTATTAAACAAATCAGAAAGTGCCTTGGAAAAGACACAGCTTCACAATGTGCAAAATGATTATTCCATAACACAAGGGCATATGACAAATCTAACACAACCTGGATTTGTACAGGAAATACACCTACCTATGGAATATGATTTAACAAGGCAATTAAAAACAGAACCCTTTAAATGGCTCAGTAAGTATCTGATAAGATACAACATTATCAGGTTTTTATGTACATAGGATACTGCCTAGATAGCTATGTGAAATCTTAAAGATAAAACAATCACATAGCACTATTAACATTGTTTAAAAAAAAAATCAATGGGGCTAGAGAGATAGCTCAGCAGTTATGAGCACTGGCTGCTCTTCCATGGGTCTTGAGTTCAATTTCCATCAACCACCATGGGAGCTCATAACCATTTATAATTAGGTCTGGTGCTCTCTTCTAGCATGCAGGTATATATGCAGGCAGAACACTGTATATGTAATATAAACATAATTTTAAAAAAACAGATCAATGTTATATAAGTGAAATTCAATACTAAAGGTGAAAAACACAGAAGTAAAAAAACAAAAAACCATTTTGACTGCATGTATTGTATGACAGTCATCTAAAGAGTCCCATAAATTACTGGAACATCTCATAGAGGCCCTTTTTAGAAGCAGACTATCAAATATACAATATTTATGTTGTCTTTTATGAATAAATGTCCCCTTAACCACTAATCAGTTAATTTTGTACTAAGACAACTAGACCTTCTATTATCTCCCAAAGCCAGCAGTCCCTCTCAGCCCTGACCTACAGTGACAAGAAATCTCTTGTAAGGAAGATACAGAAAAATCAAGATATGGACTCACCCCAGGAGGGCCATGGGTTGATGGCTGCCATCCCTGAGGATCAAACAGGGTCCTGCCCAGCACTGAAATTACCAACCTAGAGACAAAGTGAAAAAAAAAAAAAGACAAAATTGGTCCTTTCTCACACAGGAACCAGTGAGAACAAAGAGAACCCACCCATAAAGGTAACAAAAGACCTCTGAGAAGCATGGCTTTTTTTTTAATGCAATTTACATTTCAAACATAACAAAGTAGAGTTAGAGAGACGAGCTTGCCATAAGCAAGAGGATCTGAGTTCCACATGTTAAATATATGTGCCTGGTGCAGTGAGTGGAGAGCAAGTAATACCAGCACTGGGAAAGCAGAGACAGGAGGATCCCTGGGGATTTCTGACCAGTCAATAGAGTGGGATCAGAAAGGTCAATAAGAGACCCTCTCTGAAAAGCCAAGATGGAGACCCAACACCAACCCCACAGTCAACACAGACACACACAAGAAAAACAAAAAGAACAAAACTGGAGCGAAATGAATGCCATAGGGCGGGATTGTGAGGGGGGGGGGGGGCATTGACCAATCCTGGTTAAGGGTGAAAATGTGTATGTCACTCCACTACCAAGAAAGCCATTCCACTTAGATGGAACTCTTTGGTTGATGTAACAACAACAACAACAACAACAACAAAAATGCTGTAAAACCTGCATACAATGCTCATACATTAATAACCTAAAGCTGGAGGAAGGGAGAAACCGAGTTATTCCTAAATGTGTGCCAGAAGGTCCTGGGGGGGCGGGGGCAGGGGAGGGTAATTAAGAGTTCTAGAATGGGGACGGGGTTTACAGCTGCACACCGTATATACAACAAATCCACTGAACCCCACACTTTAGGATAAAGTGTGATCGTTATGCAAATGTTAAAGCCAAACAACAAAAACCAACTGCAAGACTTTTCAGACTCATGCCTATCTATCTCTCCTGGAGTCGCATCAGAGACAAAAATCCAGAGTCAGATTCTACAAATGCACAGATGCCGGGTCTTTGTCTGAGAGGTTCAGAACCTCTCGGAGAGATACTTGGTATTAAGTAGTTGCACGCTCACAGAGACTCGGATACCCCAGGATCTGAGCCAAAACTCAAGGCAAGCAAGTTGCAAGAATCCTCCAAACACACTCTCCGAAAACTGAGCGCAAGCAAGTTGCAAGAACCTTGCACGCGCACGCACACCACACGCCACACACACCTCCGTGTCACTTCAAGTTTAAAAGAACCCGGGCCGTTCCCAAGTCAGGTTTGACGCCTGCGTTCGTGCATCTTTGCTGGGAAGGGAGGGAATAAGAGCTTGCTGGCCACTATCTCGTTCCCTGGCCTCCGCAACCGGGTCGCTCCAGCGAGCTGCCCGCCTTACCTGGCTCGCAGCCACCAGCCCCGACCCTGCGGGGCGGCTGAGCGGGCTCGGGGCTGCTGCACGGGGCAGCCGGCTTCCGTCCTGCACGGAGACAACGTTCCAGGCCTGGCTTACTCCGCTCCCTCGGGCCGGCCTTTCGCAGCCTGAAGAAACCCGGCACCCAGACCCCGGAGCCGGAGGGTCGAGGGCAACGGGGGCACCGAGTCGGCGAGAAAAGAGAAGGCTCCCGACGCACCCCGGCAGTGAGCCAGCCCCGACCGCAGGCGCCGCTTCTCTGTGAGCGTTCCGAAGACCTGCCAGTCTCTCGGCGACGACGACATCGGCACCCCTGCGGTCCAGAATAAGGGCTTGTGTCGGCAGCGGACAATGGCGGCCGCACCCCCCGGAGTCAACCAGGGAGCAACGCGAGGACTGCTGGGAGTTGTAGTTTCAAGGAGGCGCGCTTCCGTGCTTCTACCGGAAGTCAGCCGAGGCCATTTTCGGAGCAGCCCCATCCAAAGTCCAGCTTCTTGCAGCACCCAGACTCTTAGGTACCGCGTCTTTCCTAGGCCGAGAAGAGTGGGTAGTTCTCTCACTTGCCACCTCTAAGAACCTAAGAGCTTGAATAGATTGGGCGGCTAGGAAGCTCAGTCTGCCTCTCAGTAAAACTGCATTTCAGGGTAGCCACTTTGGAATGGTGAATGATCTCTTGGAAGCATCTCCTTCAATCTTGAAAAGATTGAGAACGTGATTACTATTATACCTATTTTTTTTAGATGAAGAACCTAATTCTGACTGTCCCCTGCCTATGAAGTCCCACTTGCCTATGAAGAACATCAAGGATTGTCTCAACACTCTCTTTCAAGGTGGCAAAACCTTATGGGAGTCTAAATCATCAAATTACTCTGTGGGGTTTCCTTGAATCAGCATTTATTGAGCAGCAATTGAGGATAGAACAGTAAACAGCCCAAGAAACGTCTGCCAAGTTAGACCTGTTCATGGCACGTGAAGTTGTATATATGGAGGGCAAGACCACACTGAAGAAATGCAAGTAAAGGTGGTTTAGGCATGCACTAGCAACATGAAGTTAGGAATCACAGAGAAGCAATTGTGGCTCCAGAAAACACATTAACCAATGAAAGATGCTTAGAATGGTTCTCTGTGTTAAGAGGGAAGAGTATGGGAAAGCTAAAGAGCAAGTTATAAGATGAATGGCGTAAAGCTGTAAGATTAGAGAGTGTCCAAGATTGGCAGGAAGAGGAAATGACCTAGAGCTTCTAACCCTCCTGCATGCCCCTCAAGAGTGCAGGGATTATAGGCATGATGAGTTTTATGCAATGCTGAGAATACAACTCAAGACTTTGGTCATGCGAGGCAAGCACTATATCAACTGAACTGCATCCATAGCCAAGAAGTCCAGCTTCTTTGTTGTGAGTTTGAGGGAAGCACTGAATATATAGGTGGGGAAGTGGTGACATTGTGTGTGTATGTTTAATGAATTAGTTGCTATAAAGATGGGAATTCAGGGGGTCATTTAGAATTCTGGACTTCAATGAGCTATGAGCAAGGCATAACTCAGACACAGTTCCAAACCAGATGGAAGGTCATTTAAAGAAGGTCTTGTGTGTAGTATTGGGCTGGTAAGGGTAATATTGGCACTCAAAGGGAAGGCAAAAAAGGAGCAAGCCTCCCTGTTGGTTTTAAATGAGGTGCTGTTACTCTGCGAGGAAAGGTCACGAGGCACAACAAAACCCAGTATCAGAGCTTTATTGGGGGAGAGAACAGAAGAGAGTGACCAGGCCTATAAAAGACATGTATAGGAGAGAGAAAGTGGGGGGAGGTGAGAGTAGAAGAGAGGGGAGGAGTCTGGGACCGGCTTTTTAAGGATTTCCCTGTACATGCACATGTGGGCTTATGGAGCTACACCACACATGCACAGATTGCATGACCATACCACATGCATTATGAATTCACGCAGTGCACAAATGATGTAAGACGTAAGACCCCTTACTTAGCTACTGGTCATGCAGCTGGAAGAGAGAGCAGAATCCTAACATTCCAGACTTTTTGCTTATGAGAAAAAAGCAGATGAACAGGAATAGGGGTGTCATTTCTCCTGAAAAACTGCATCCAGCAGACTTGGTGGGTGTTGGTTGATTCTTGGGGGGTAGGGAAGGGGGTTTCTGAAGTAGACAAATATCCTGGGATGATGGGCAGCCTGGGATGGTGGGCTATTGTCTGCTGCCTCAGACCTGTCCATCATCCCTCTCGGCCTGGGACTCTGGCTGCTTGTGTCTGACAGGATGCTAGTGAAACAGAGTAAAAGCTCAGAAAAAAGAATTATTATTATTATTATTATTATTATTATTATTATTATTATTATTATTTCCTTTTGGGAGGTCCACAGTGTGAGAGAGGGAGTCTTGAGACCAGGAAAGTTTGGGTTGCAACTATCCAAAGCAGATCCAATCTGCCCAGAAGGATTTAAGCTGGTTCCAAAACTCGCTGACCTATCTAGGTGGATTTTCTGGAGCTCAGATAAATTTTTTAACATATTAAGAAGCAGCCATGGGAAATTTAAAATCTTGAGCTGGTGACCATATTATTGTAATGTTTTAGTTCTCTGCTTATATATATTAATTAGATCATTATATTATATAGATTAATAGATTGTTATATTAAAATCTGTTTTTGCAGAGCACAGACACTTTGGAGTCTGGGGGTGTAAATGCCTTTTAACTGTTACTGTTCCTTACCACCTGGGTATATACTTAATGGTCCTTGGACCCCAGCTCTATGGTGATCCTGTAACAATTAGCTGAGTAGTTAATTAGAAGAGGGAACCCCAAAGAGAAAAGTTTGTGGGGTGAAACCTCATTCTTCTGGAATTGGGGACAAGGCAATGGATCCTTATGTTTTCTGGAACTTGAGAGAGAGCAGGGCCTTCTCTGTGTCACTGTGTGCATGAGGAGGAGAAGCACTGTGACCACTCTAGAGTGAGGCATGTGGAGGGAGCAAATGAAATGAAATCTTCTACCTTAGCTGGAAAATCTCCCAACATGTGCAGAAGAACTAAGGAGGGAAGGCTATTTGAGGGGAGCCTACTAGGTGATATAAAAGGGCTGAGGCACTGACATAAACCCTGAGTGGACAGGAAGGTGAGCTTGGGTACAAATATAGAACTGAACAAAATAACAATATATGGATGGGAGAAATCAAGCCGCACCTCTAAGGATCAGACAGACAAAGAATGCAGAAGATGGTTTTCAGGTAAATTGACTTGATAAAAAGCTTGATGATTTGTGTGTGGTCCCAAGAACCCACATAGAGGTAGAAGGACAGGACCAACTCTACAAAGTTGTCCTCTGATTCCACATGCAAGCCATCATGCACACACACATACACACACACACACACACACACACACACACACACACACACACACACACTACAAACAATAGATACATTCAAGTAAGAAAACAAATTCCAAACATTATTTCAACAGATAAGTGTAATTTTTTAACATGACCATAATCCCCATATTGAAGTCAAAAAATAGAGCCAAAACAATGGCTCAGCTCCTTAGCAAGTAAAGGCAGCCTGATGACGCTGATGAAATCTCAAGGTCTCTGCTGAACTCTAACTTCTGAAACTTACACTCTGACCTCCACATAGTGTTTTGGGTTGTGCATGTCCAAAAACATGGACAGACACATGCACACCAATCTGTCAATCAATAAATATATACAATTAAAAAGAAGTAAATAAAATAAAACAGCAATACACCAGTTCATTGATATTTCAACCTATAGTTACTTAACTTCCACTCTCAATAGTATGATTTTTTTTCTTAGAAATAATAAATTATTGGAAGTTCACACTCTGTAATTGATGGATAATTCTTTTTTAATAAGAGCTTTATTGAGAAAAAAAATTGACATAGTGTACAATTCATCCATTTACATTATGCAACCTGCCAGACGTGGGAGCACACTCAGGACGCTGAAGCAGGAGGATTGCTACCAGTTTGAAGCCGGCCTGGTTGATGTGGAAAGAGCCTGTCCCAAATAAATAAATAAAAGGAGATGACAATTTAGTGGTCATTAGCATATTCTTGAGTCTTACAACCATTACCAAATCATTTTTAATTAAGCATGTAGTGTAGTATGAGCACATGAGTGCAGGTGCACACAGAGACCAGGGTGTTGAATCCCCTGGAGCTGGAATTAAAGGTGGCTGTGAGCGGCCTGACATGAGTCCTGGCAGCCAAACTGGGTCCTCTGGAGGAGAAGTGAGTGCTCTGAACCATTGACCTAGAACCTCACAAAACAAATTTTAGATCTTCAATATACCCTAGAAATACTGCATATTTTATACTCATCACCTCCAATTTACCCTCAGCAAACCTCAAGAAACCACTAGACAGATATATGTTTCTATGGATTTAATTCTTCAGGATATTTTATAAAAAGGAATATTGAAATATATTATATTCATTGTCTGGATCCCTTAACACAAGGTAATATTCTCAGTGTTTAACCAGATATTAAATGGTATTCTATTTCTTTTTATATTTATTTCTTATTTCCAAATAATATCGTAAGGATGAGTAAGCCATACCAAGCATTCATTAACCATAAACATTTACATTGTTTGAACTTTTAGTACAAAACAATGAATCTCTGAAGATTCATTTACAGTCCTAGAAGACATGTTTTCATTTTTCAGATAGATAGATAGATAGATAGATAGATAGATAGATAGATAGATAGACATATTATATAAGAATAGAGTTGCTGAATCACAAAGTAGGTCTGTGAAAGAACTGTCAGTGAAAGGTTCAATCCCTAGTACTGTTTCTCTCAAAACAAAACAAAAAAAGAGATAAATGGTCTGCCTGTCGATTCCTCACATCCATACCAACCCTTGACATTGTCATCAATTCATCACCCTTGTGACAATTTTGCATTTATATTTACTGTGTACACCTATGGGGGGTGCTACAGTTGGAGGGCAGAGGTCACACAACAACTAGTGGTGTCAGTTCTCTCCATCCAACATCTAGGTCCTGGGAATCAAACCAAGGTTGTACCCATAGAGCCATCTTGCCAGCCCTCCTTTCTAACTGTCTTAATTGTGATAAATTTTAGCAATACATAGAGATAGAATAGAAAATAACCAATCTATGTGGCCACTACCAACCCAATAGTCAAGAGTGTTTTGCTGAAAGTATCTCACTTTAATCTTGATCTATATTTTAAATACCTTTGAACCACACAAAAACAGTGAAACAAAATCACATAGTTGGTCCTGCTGACTTCCCCTAGGACTAGGATATGAAGCTTTGTGGTATGGATCTGGGGACACACCTTCTCTGGAGCATCTCACTCTGCCTATCCAGCTGTGGCTGGTGGCCTTGCCTTAACCAGGCAGCAGTGTTCCTCTCTGGTTTCAGCAAGATGATGTAGCACTTGGGGATGAAGATGCCACCCAGAAGGCCAGCAGTCGAGGCCAGGATGGAGAAGACCTCTACAGCCACAGTGGACTTGCCCCGAGCACTGTGGTACAGGGGCAGGAAGGCTGTCCAGACACTGCAGAAGAGCAGCATGCTGAAGGTCAGAAACTTAGTCTCATTGAAGACATCTGGCAGGCCCCTGGCCAGAAAGGCCACAGAGAAGGTACCCACTGCCAGGAAACCCAAGTAGCCCAGCACACAGAAGAAGATGGTGCCAGAACCCTCCTGGCACTGGATGACAATGTGCTGGGGCTCCGAGACCATATCCCTGTCTGGGAATGGTGGGGAGGTGGCCAGCCAGACCCCACAAAGAACAACCTGCATGAAGGAAGCAATGAGGACCACTGAGGTGGAAGCCCCAGGGCTCAGGCATACCCGGATCCTGTCCCCTGGCCTGGTTACCCTGAAAGCCAGGACCACTGTGAGAGTCTTGGCCAGAACAGAGGACACAGCTACCGTGAACACCACAGCAAAGGTGGTCTGACGGAGGAGGCATGTCAAGACACTGGGTCGCCCAAGGAACAGCAAGGCACACAGGGCACAGAGGCAAAGAGAGAGCAGGAGTAAGTAGCTGAGACTTCTGTTGTTTGCCCTGACCACAGGGCTGTCTCTGTGCTTCAGGAATACTCCCAGAACCAGGACAGCCAGACCAGCCAGGAGGAGTGCCACCAAAGCCAGCATGAATCCCAGAGGTTCCTCAAAGGCCAGGAAGGTCTCTGTCCTGGGCAGGCAATGGTCTCTCATGTGGCTCGAGTACTGCTCCTTGGGGCACAGAAGACAGCTCTTCATGTCTATGGGAGACACACAGACACCATTTCTGCAACACTAAATGAACTACACCAGCTCTGAAGGAAGTCATCCCAAGCACTTAGTGCTCTTACAACCTTTCCATCAAGTCATGTATTTATGATTTATTCCTAGTGACCAGGGATGGAATGGCTGATATTAGAGGCAGAGACATAAAGGGAAAGAATTGCACAGTCTGTATCTGTTTTATGTGAGGAGTTTGGTTTTGTCTTTATACAGTGTCTCATGTAACTCAGGCTGGCCTTGAGCTTGCTGAGTATCAGAGGATGACCTTGAACTCCTAAGTCTCCTTCCACATCCTCTCAAGTGCTGTGATTATAGGCCTGTACCACTATACCTAATTTATGTCAGTTTGTGTATGTGCAGGTTTGTGTGTGCACACATGTATGTAAGTGGATGCACATACTTGTCAAGAGGAGACATTATCATCAGATATATTGCTCAACTACTTCCACTTGCTTATTTTTCTAATCAAACTTACTAGGTATCCTCCTGAAGGTCAGTAAACCTGTCAGGGTCTCTGGAGCTGGACTCAGTCTGTCAGAGTTTACAGTGAATTCTTTAACTGAAGGGCCATTTCACTAGTCTCAACGACTTTCTTGGAATTACTTATTTTATTTTACTTGTTGAGTGTTTTTCTGTACACACACACACACACACACACACACACGACACACACACACAAACACACTCTCTCTCTCATATAAATCATGTGCATGCCTGGTTCCTGCAGAAGTCAGAAGATGGCATCAGTCACCCTATAACTAGGGTTACAAATGATTTGGAAAACACCTGCCCAATTCTGCTCCAGTTGCTGGCCCACAGGCAGGGCTCCTGCAAGACCCCCTAGGCGGACCGTGCAATCTACATGGCCTGCCCCCATACGCATCAGCCTGATACCCCAGCCACTTCCTGAGGCTCAGAAACCAAACTGCCAGCTCTAGTTGGCAAAGAGCTATCATTGGACCAAGAGTAACCACAGGAGACAGGGAATCTGCCAGCCCTCATTAGACCAAGAGTGGCTTTCTGAGAAGTAGAATCTGCCACCTCTCATTGGACCAAGACAGGCTTCCTGAAACACAGAATCTGTCAGCTCTGACAGGACCAAGAGCCCTGATAAGACCAAGAGTGGCTCCATGAGTCACAGAATCAACTTGCTTGGGTATACCCAAGAGAAGCTCCCTGAGACACAGAATCTGCCTGATCCAATTAGACTAAGAGCTAAGATTGGACCCAGAGGGGCACCCTGAGACACAGACACAACAAGCACAGAGTGGACCAATAGCAACTCAATCAGACACAGGCACCTCTTATACCTATTAGAGGAAGAGATGGGCAGATGTCAAGGAAAAAATACATTGAACAACATAAAGAGCAATATGCCATCACCAGAAACTAACCCTCCTCCAACAGCAAGACCTGAACATCACAATGTAGAAGAAGCAGAAGAAAGCAACCCTAAGAATAGCATCATGAAGATGCTAGAGGCCTTTCAAGAAAAAATAAAAAATGAAATTGAGGAAAAGACACACAAAAAATTGGAAGAAATCAATAAAGAAATAGAGGAAAAGACAAATAAAAAATTGGAAGAAATCAATAAATCCTTTAAAGAAAATCATGAAAAAGCAATTAAACAGGAGAGGAAAGAGCTCAATACCTGAAAAGGGAAGTAGAAACAATGAAGACACAAACAGAAGGAATGCTGGAAATAGAAAATCTGAGTAAATGAACAGGAAACACAGATGCAAGCATATCCAACAGAATATAAGAGATGGAAGAAAAAATCTCTGGTGTAGAGGACACAATAAAGGAAATAGATTCATTTGACAGTCAAAGAAAATACAACAGCCAAAATAGTGATAACACAAAATGTCCAAGAAATCTGGGACACCATGAAAAGACAAAACCTATTAGTAATTGGGATAAAAGGAGAATACCAAGTCAAAGGCACAGAAAATATTTTCAACAAGATCATAGAAGAAAACTTTCCCAACTTAAAGAAGAAAATGCCTATGAAGATACAAGAAGCCTATAGAACACTAAATAGACTAGACCCCCAAAAAAAGGCCCCTCACCACGTAATAATTAAACAACTAAACCTACAGGATAAAGAAAGAATATTAAGAGCAGCAAAGGAAAAAAGCCAAGTGACTTATAAAGGCAAACCCATCAGAATAACACCCGATTTCTCAATGGACACTTTGAAAGCGAGAAGGACCTGGGCAGATGTAATGCAGACACTAAGAGACCATGGATGCCAACCTAGACTAATATACCCAGCAAAACTTTCAATCATCATAGACAGAGTGAACAAGACATTCCAAGACAAAACCAGATTTAAACATTACTTATCCACAAACCCAGCCCTACAGAAAGCACTAGAAGGAAAATTCCAACCTAAGGAAGTCAGATACACCCATGAAAACACAGGCAATAGATAACACCACAGCAGGAAAACCAAAAGAAGAGAAGTACACACACATTACAACCAAAAGATAACAGGAATGAACAATCACTGGTCATTAATATCCCTTAATATCAATGGACTTAATTCACCTATAAAAAGACATAGGCTTACAGAATGGAAACGAAAGCAGGACCCATCTTTCTGCTGCATACAAGAAACACACCTCAATTTTAAAGATAGACACTACCTCAGAATAAAAGACTGGGAAAAGTCTTTCCAATGAAATGGTCTTAAGAAGCAAGGTGGTGTAGCTATCCTAATGTCCAGCAAAATAGACTTCAAACTAAAATCAATCAAGAGAATCAGAAGGACATTACATACTCATCACAGAAAAATTCACCAAGATGAAGTCTCAATTCTTAACATTTATGCCTCATATACAAGGGCACCCACATATGTAAAAGAAACATTACTAAAGCTTAAATCACACATAAAACCCCACACATTAATAGTGGGAGACTTCAACACCCCACTCTCACCACTGGACAGATTTGTCAAATCGAAACTTAACAGAGAAATAAAGGACTTAATTGATGTCATGACCCAAATGGACTTAATCGATATCTATAGAAAATTCCATCTTAACAAAAAAGAATATACCTTCTTCTCAGCACCCCATGGAACTTTGTCTAAAATCAACCACATACTCAGCCACAACAGATAGAAAAAAATGTGGAATAATCTCCTGTATTCTATCAGACCACCATGGCTTAAAGTTAGATTTCAACAACAACAAAAATTACAGAAAGCATACAATCTCATGGAAACTGAATCACCAATGAGTCAAGAAAGAAATAAAAAGAAATTAAAGATTTCCTAGAGATCAATGAAAATGAATATACCACATACCCAAACTTATGGGACACTATGAAAGCAGCGCTAAGAGGGAAATTCATAGCACTAAATGCCCACATAAAGAAGTTGGAGAAATCTCACACTAGTGACTTAATACTACACCTGAAAGCTCTAGAACAAGAAGAAGCAAACACCCAGGACAAATAGATGCCAGGAAATAATTAAATTGATAGCTGAAATCAATAAAATAGAAACAAAGAGAACAATACAAAGAATCAATGAAACAAAGAGTTGGTTCTTTGAGAAAATCAACAATATAGACAAGACCTTATCCAAACTAACTACTAGACAGAGAGAGAGAGAGCTTCAAAATTAGCAAAATCAGAAATGAAAAGGTAGACATAACAACTGACAATGAGGAAATCCAGAGAATCATCAGGTCATCAGTAGAGGTTCAAAACCTCTACTCCACAAAACTGGAAAATCTAAAAGACATGGATTATTTTCTGTACAGATACCACATACCTAAGTTAATCAAGACCAGATAAACTATTTAAATACAATAACTGCTAAGGAAACAGAAACAGTCATTAAAAGTCTCCCAACCAAAAAAAGCCCAGGACCAGATGGTTTCAGTGCAGAATTAAACCAGATCTTCAAAGAAGAGATAATACCAATACTCTTTAAATTGTTCCACACAATAGAAACAGAAGGAACATTACCAAACTCCTTCTATGAGGCTTCAATTACTCTGATTCCCAAGCCAAACAAAGACGCAACAAAGAAAGAGAATTACAGACCAATCTCCATCATGAACATTGATGCAAAAATACTCAATAAAATACTGGCAAACAAACTCCAAGAACACATCAAAACAATTATCCACCATGATCAAGTAGGCTTCATTCCAGAGATGAAAGGGTGGTTCAACATACGAAAGTCTGTCAATGTAATACAACGTACAAACAAACGGAAAGAAAAAATGGCATGATCATCTTACTAGATGCTGAAACGGTCTTTTAAAAATCCAACACTCCTTCATGATAAAGATCTTGGAGAGATCAGGAATACAGGGAACATACATAAACATAATAAAGGCAATTTACAGCAAGCCAACAGTCAACATCAAAGTAACTGGAGAGAAACTCAAAGCAATTCCACTAAAATTACAAACAAGACAAGGCTGTCCACTCTACCCATACATATTCAATATAGTACTTGAAGTTCTAGTCAGAGCAATAAGACAACTTAAGAACATCAAGGGGATACAACTTGGAAAGAAAGACATCAAGCTTTCACTATTTGCAGCGGATGTAAAAGTATACATAAGTGACCCCAAAAATTCAACCAAAGAACTCATACAGCTGATAAACCACCTTCAGTAATGTGGCAGGATACAAGATTAACTCAAAAAAATCAGTAGCACTCCTATATACAAATGACAAATGGGCTGAGAATGAAATCAAAGAAACATCACCATTTACAATAGCCACTCAGCAGAGGAAAAACAATGACATCATGAGGTTTGCAGGCAAATGGATGGAACTAGAAAATATCATCTTGAGTGAAGTAACACAGACTCAAAAAGACAAACATGGTATGTACTCACTCATAAGTGGATATTAGTTGTAAAGCAAAGGATAACCAGACTGCAACTGACAACTCCAGGGAGGCTACCTAGTAAATAGGACCCTAAGAAAGACACAGGGATCACCCAGTCACAGAGAAATGGATGAGACCTACCTGATCAAACTGGAGGTGAGGGGGAGCAGGTAATGGAGGACAAGTGTCAGAGGAGAGAGAACTTAGGGGAGTGGGAGATCCCGGCTGGATCAGGAACAGAGTGGGAGAACAAGGAAAGAGATTCCATGATAAATGAAGACTCCATAGGAGTAGGAAGAAACAGAGTGCTAGAGAGGTCCCCAGAAATCCACAAAGATGACTCCACTATAAACTACTGGCAATGGTCAAGAGAGTACCTGAGCTGACCTACTCTGGTGATTGGTGGGTCGAACACCCTAACTGTCATGATAGAACTCTCATCCAGTGACTGATGGAAGCAGATGCAGAGATCGTCAGCCAAACCCCAGGTGGAGCTCCAGGAGTCCAATCAATGAGAGAGAGGAGGGATGCTATGAACAATATGTTTCAAGACTATGATTGGAAAAAGCACAGAGACAAATAGCCAAACAAGTGGAAACACATGAACTGTGATCCAATAGCTGAGGAGCCCACATGGAACTTGTCAAGGCCATCTGGATGAGTGAGACAGATGATTAGTCTGAACTGTGTAGGAGGCCCCAAGCAATGGGACTAGGACCTGTCCTTAGTGCATAAGCAGGCTTTTTGCAACCTGGGGCTTATGTTGAGACACTTTGCTCAGCCTTGGTGCAGGGAGGAGGGGACTGGACCTGCCTCACCTGAATGTACCAGGCTGGGCTGACACCCCAGGGAAGACCTTGCCTTAGAGGAGGTGAGAATGGGTGGGTCAATTGGAGGAGAAGCCTGGGGATGGGAGGAGGGAGGACAGGGGAATACTTGGCTGATATGTAAAATGACTAGAAAATCTCTTATATAAAATAAAATAAAAAATGATTTGGAGTCCCCATATGGGTGCTCCTAACTGCTGAACCTCCTTGCCAGTTCCTAACTATCATATTTTTGAAACTGCATCTCTCATTGAAACTGGAGATCACTGAGTTCACTATATTAACAAGACACAATATCCAAGATCCTCTTGTCTCCATCTCCTGAGTGCTGAGATTCAAGGAATGTGCTACCACACCTGGTCTCCTATTTGAGTTTTTAATGTTTCATTTTTTCCTAATATACTATTAGTAACTGGTCATATTAACAAAGTTTTCCACTGAATTATGCCTGCAAAATTCATTTTGTGAAGTGCTGTTCTTTGGCACCTCAAAATGCCACTGTATTTTGCTATAAGCAACCTGGAGATTTTCTAAAAAAATCTAAAATGAGGTCATCAGAGCAGACACTAATTCCAACATTACTGCTATTCTAATAAGAATGGGGAGTTTGGACTGGGTGTGGCTGCACATGACTTTAATCTCAGTACTTGAGAGGCAGAGGCAGCTAGTTTTCTAT